TCGCAGCATACTAAGAATGCATTATCCTTACCTTGTTTCTTATAATGCATTTTCTTATCATGCAAATGCATTACATGTGTCCTGATAATTCATAATAACACGAACCCTTAGTTGACAAAAACTTAAAAAAATACATAAAATGCAGCTGGCCTAATTCCTTTCTATATAGGCCAAAAATTCAAGGTTTTAAAGCATTATACAAATTCACAATAGCAAAAATACACCCTCAATTTTTTTTTCTTGGCAACACTGAATAAGAATGCATTACCTTGGAAAAGGCAATACTCCTACATACAATATGCACCATACAGACTAACATATGCATAAAGAAAAACAAAAGATGTAAATATTAGAATATTTAATGGAGCAAAGAAAATACATGTACTAAACCAATAAAAAAACATGATTTAACTTATCTAATAATTACAAAGTAATAAAAAATCAATAGGAAAATATGCATTAGACATTTAAGAACAATTTGAAAAAAATTAAATAAAAAATCACAAAAAGGTGGGTAAATAAGTTAAATCATTTTGATGGAGATGAAATTTAACCTTACATAATGTAAAAATTAACACAAAATATATTTGTGTAAATCTTGTAATAAAGAGGGAAAGAAGCGATAAACTCAATTACTGCACATCATATGTATAGGATTGTTGCCGCTATCCCTCTCTGTTTCGATTTGGGATTCAGCCACTTGTTCAAGGCCAACCTCCAACCTCCTTCATGCTCTGCGATCTATCTAGGTCGTCGCTGCTCCGCCCTGTCAGACGATTTCTTATGTTGCTGAAAATAATTGAATTAATTCATCTCAGTAAAAACTAAATTTCCAATTTCATACGTATAAGGAAACCTAACTTTTCATTCCATATAAAAAACTGAAACTTGTGGAATAAAAGATGGAAGGTGAATAATGTTAATTAGAGAGAGATGCCGACACAAGGGAACAACCCAAAGTGACCTTCCGAACTTTGTTGAAAGAGACGCGGAAGTATCTGCAGTGCGGAACAATCAAGATTTGAACAATGAGGTATCACAAAGTTTCTGTACACATTGCGTATATACGTTACAGGACTGCACCTATTTTGATGAACTTGTTGTCTGGGTTTCATTCTAGATGGAGGTGACGGTTGAAGAGAGAAGAGATGAAGAAAATGCTGGGCTGAAAAGGAAAATTGATGAGGTATGATAATAGGTTACTCCCTCCGTTCTCAAAAACATTTCCTCTTTCATTTTTTCCACTTCCAACAAAACACTTCCCCTTTCTATTAAAAAACCACTTTTACCCTTACTTTTTCCTACCCTACATATCACATCATACTTTTTCTCTAATAATCTATCCATCACATCAGGGGCAAAATTGGAAATCAACTATAATTTAACACTTCCTTATTTTTGCCCCCAAATCAAATGGGAAGGGTTTTTCGAAACGGAGGGAGTATTAAATAGATGACATAGATATCTTCGGCCATTCGTTTAATTTGTTTTGAACAGGTTGTGCAATATGCAAAAGGTGCAAGGGCCAGAAGGAAGACCAAAACAGCTGTGACGTTGAAGTCACCTTACCTAACACGGATGATTGATCCAAGAGATAATGTGAACACATTTGAGAAGAAATTTTGGAAGTGGGTTGTAAACAAGCAAGATGCTGACAGGTTTATGCTTTAACTTTGGTTAAACAATGCATGATATTAGGAAACTTAAAGTAACATTCTTGATATTGGTTCTGTAAAACTTATGCAGGA